GATAGCCCTCCAACTACCTGGGTCATCCAACCCGGGGCCGTTAGGCTCTTCCGTCGAGCAATAGGCGAGAACGGGCCTCATATTGACCTTAGGGTGATAGCCCTCCGACTACCGGCCGTTAGGCTCTTCCGTCGGGCAATAGGCGAGGACGGACCTCGTATTGACTCTAGGGCATGGTTAGAGAGGTTAGACGGGTACCCTTACGGGGTCCCCCCCCCCCCCCCCCATAAGTTGTGAAAATGAGTCTATAGAGAAATTTGACTACTTTATTAAAGTGAAAGGGACGGACCACCTTCCAAAAATAAATTACTGGGATTGAGAAGGCGAGGGTTTTTTTTTTTTAATTTTTAAATTTTTAATTAAAAATTATTAATAGAATCTCGTAAATTACATTTGATCAGATTGGTGTAAAAAATCATATTTACACCCTTATTGCTATTTACACCACCTATGTAATTGTTGAAATTTTTCCTATTTTTAAAATTTTAAAATTATTTACACCCACTTTTCACTAGAGGATGGTACAAATAGTAACACTCGTACCGTGTCAAATATAAGCCTAGTACTTCTTGCCTGAAATTTGACGAAAGAAACGGTAATTGTCACACTACGTGACATTTCTCAAGATAAATTTGTCTTCATTTTTTTTGGGGACAGAGGGGGGTTACCCAGCTAACACTATTGGTTAGCGTTAGCAGACACATTAGAGCCATTATTTGCTCTCAGGATGCTATGAACTTCCCCCGGAAGGTGATGAAATTCCATCCAGTCTCAGAGTCTTCTCGGAGCTTCTCTAGCTAGCCAGTCCGCTACCTCATTTTCTTCACGGGGGATGAAGGTCACCTTAACTGACCAGTCCTTGTTAAGCCAGATCTTGCACCACCTAATAAGGTCACCGCAAAGCCCGAGGACGACGGGGTTCTCATTTGGCCAATCAACCGCATGTTTTGAATCCCTTAGAAGATTAATTTTTCTCATCCCTTGATCCCATGCCCATTTCAGTCCCAAGTAGATTGCCCAAAGCTCAGCTTCCGTTGCGCTTTCTGTTCTCATCATGCAGCTAAAACCCTTAATCCAAATCCCATTATGGTCACGTAGCATTCCTCCGCAGCCCGTCATATGACTTGAAGGTGAGTAGGATGCGTCTGTGTTGAGAGTTGTCCATTCTGGTCCAGTGATCCGTTGATCTTTAGTGGGTTGCAACACTGCCTTGGGCTGTTTCTGGTGAGCGTATGCCTTCGCTATAGTCTCGAGTTGCTGCTTGATCCAGTTGATTCTCCGTTCCAAGCTCCAACTTCCGCCATTGAAGATTCTGTCGCATCGCCATTTCCAAGTCCACCATACGATTATCGCGAACCGGCCTGCCCAGTCTCCTTTTCCCCCGCCATCTAGCTTACCTGTAACATTACGGACAAGCCAAGTATCAAAATTCAAATGATAGAACCATCTATTAGCCCCAGAAGGTAGGAATACTTCCCATAGTTTCTTTGTTACATTGCAGTCCCGTGGCAATGTAAAATGTCTTCCTCTTGCATATAGCATTCCGTGCACCTTGCATCGCTCGTGAAACCCCTCCGCTTGCGTTCCACATTTTTCATTAGCTTTTTATGTTTTAGTAGCCAGACAAAAGTGTTGACTTTTCTAGGGACCCTTAGCTTCCAGATTGTTGTCCACATGGGGTCATTCTCTTATTTGTTTGAATTCAAAGCAATACTGTACGCAGATTTAACTGAGCAAAGGCCACTCGGTTCAAGACTCCAGTAAATCTCGTTGTTCTCTTCACCATGTCGCTCTCCTTCTGAGAGTATGGGGTAGGCTTCACAGACTCCTCTCCAGAGGTTTGAGCTTTCTTTTTTCTTTATAAAGGCACTGTCCTCTGGTTTGCCATGCATGTATTTTTCCGTAATGACTCTTGCCCAGAGGTTTTGTTTCTCCGTGTGAAGTCTCCACCCAAGTTTAGTCAGGAAAGCAATGTTCATTTCCTTTAGCCTTCTAAGGCCAATACCTCCTTGTTCTTTCGGTTTTGTGATTGCATTCCAGTTTACCATGTGCATGCCTCCCCTCCAGACGAATTGTCTAATCTTTTTCTCAATGGCTTCGCAGACTCCTTTGGGGAAGAGCATCGATTGCATCATATAGTAAGGTGTTGCATTCAGGACACTTTGAGCGAGAGTAATGCGGCCTGCCAGAGTCAGGTTTTTCGCTTTCCAGCCTTCCAATCTCCCTTCTATTTTGTCCAAGAGTGGCGCAAAGATGCTATTAGTAACTCTCCCATGTATAAATGGTACTCCGAGGTACCGCCCCAGGTTCTCCGTGTAGGCAAATCCTGCTTCTCTTGTGATGGCTTGTGCCAAGATAGGTTCCACGTTTTTCCCAAAGTGGACTTGGGACTTTTGAATGCTAACTTTCTGTCCGGAGACTTGCTCGAATTTTTTGAGGCATCGCTTGATCACCTCCATTTGTGTTAAGGAAGCCTCTGCAATCAACACCATATCGTCAGCAAAAAAACAAAAAGGTGGAGTTAACTCGGGACATACCTTGAGAGTTTGACCACTTTCCATGCTTTATTCTGGACTTCTTTTTTGATCATCTTGCTTAAGCGTTCCATGCACAGAACAAACAAATAGGGAGAGATTGGATCTCCTTGTCTTATGCCTCTCGTGGGTGTGATCCCGTCTAGTTGTGAGCCCTTCCAAAGAATTGCAAGCGTAGGTGTTTGAACACACTCCATGATAATGTCTATCCAGTGCCCGTCCATGCCTAAACCTTGTAGCGTGTCTCGTACGTAAACCCAAGAGAGCCTATTGTAAGCTTTCTCTAGGTCAATCTTTAGGGTCATAACTTTCATGCCCCCTCTTTTGGTTCTCATGGTGTGAAGAAGCTCTTGGTACACCGCAATGTTATCTATTATTTGACGTTGGGGGACAAAGCTGCTTTGTTCCTGCCCCACTACCTGATTCATAATGTCTTTCAGTCTGTTAGTGATGATTTTTGTGACCAGTTTATACTTTACGTTGCACAAGCTGATTGGCATGAATTGGGTTACAAGCTCTGGCTGTTGCACTTTCGGGATTAAAGCTATCAGCGTGTTATTCCAGTCTCTTGGTAGCTTGGCCGTGCGAAAAATCTCTAGAATTTTGTCGGTTAGATCTGCTTCAATGACTTTCCACGTTTTTTGGTAAAAGACAGCGTGGAATCCCTCCAGGCCTGGTGCCTTGTAGGGATCCATCTCAAGTAACGCAGCCTTTATGTCTTCCTTTGTGACACTCCTGCAAAGAGTAGAGACGTTAGTTTGATCTAGTGTGTTTAAATTTGGGCATACATACCTTGAGTTCGCCATTGCCGTATCCTCCATGAAGAGATTTCGAAAATGCTCCTGTAACATGCTTTTAATTTTCTCCTCATCAGATTCCCAGTTCCCGTTGTTGTCTTTCAAGCTTGTGACTAGTGCTCTTGATTTCTTGACTTTCGTAATAGCATGGTAGTACTTTGTATTGCGGTCCCCGGATGTAATCCATTCTTCTCTTGACCTTTGAAACCAGACCAGCTCCTCCTTGTATAGAATATCTTCCAACTCCGTCTTCAGTTTTGTTTCTAGTTTGATTAATCCGCCTATCTTCCCATAATTCCTAGCCCGCTGAATGCCATCAATCCTTGCAATAATTTGCTTCCTTTTCTTTTCGAGGTTTCCAATTGCGTCCTTGCTCCACGTCTGTAGGCCCTCTCTTATTGCATCGAGCTTAGCATCAAACTCAGTACTGGTTGGGATCTTCCAAATGTTGTTAATAAGTTTGCCAAAATCTTCGTGTAAACCCCATATTGCTTGGAACTGGAATCTTCTCGGTTTGTTGTGGTTGATCTGACCCTCCAAAGTAAGCATGATAGGGTTATGGTCCGATGTCAGGTTCGGGAGGTGCGTTACAGTCGCATTCAGAAAAATGTCTAGCCATTCTTCCGTGCACAAGCATCTATCCAGTCGGGCTGCTTTGAGAGTATTAACAGTTGTCCCGCGTCTCCAAGTGTATTGGGAACCGCTAAAATCCAAATCTATAAGGCTTTCACGGCTGATCCACTCGGTAAAATCTTTGCTTCGTCTATCATTAAAACTCTCAGGGTAGTTAACTTCTTCACGAAAAGTGATTGAGTTAAAATCCCCAAGGGTGACCCAAGCTACATCCATGCTGCACTGTTCCTTTCCTAACTCCAACCATAATTTGCGTCTTAGGCTCTGTGAAGGGCTAGCATACACGATTGCAATAGACCACACCATGTTGCTGTTATTCTTTTTTATGTCCATGGTAACAAATTGAGGATTGGTACGTTTAATATCTAGATTGAGAGAATTGTTCCAGAGGATCCAAATTCCTCTGCTCATTCCCACTGCTTCCACCCTTAACCATTGGTCAAAACCAAGCTTAATACATGTTTCATCTGCCCTGACGATTTGGGCTCAAGAACACAAAAACAATTAGGCCTGTGTTGCCTAATAATTGTCTTGGCAGCTCTAATAAACTTCTTAGAGGCTGCTCCTTGGCAATTCCATGTTATGATCTTCATTGGAAGACATAGCAAGGGCAACAACACAAAGAAAAAAAAAACACTCAGAACCAAAACGGCGGGAAAAGGCCTAGGTAACGACCTCTTCCGAGGTGCCACCGCGGCCATTATCCTCATCGCACTCGTGCCATGGTTCCTCCTCCATTTGCTCATCGTGCTGCTCAGGAGGGTCACCATGGTGTTCAAAAACATCCTCCTCCATACTTGTCAGTTGGGGGGAGTTGTCGCTATTATTAAAATAAATAGAACTGACCGATGTTTTCTCCAGTAAATTTCCCCTTGCTACTGTGTGTGTGTCTCCTGCAGCTGCTTGGTTACCTTTATTGTGCTTTCGGGAGGTACTCGCCTCATTTGAGGCAACTGCATGGGCTTTACGTGTAGCTTGCATGTCACTTGGTCTTACTGTTTTGTCATTCAATATTTGCTTTTCTGATATTTGCACATTAGGTCTTCTTGATTTTTCCTTGCTTTTTGGTTCTTGAATTCCTGGTTCCCCTCACGTGCTTCTCCACAAGGCTCTCCTCATTAGACTCCACAACCAGCTCATTGATCTCCTCTGTAACTTCCTCACTTAGAACCACAAATATAGAATCTGATCTAATTCCTTGGTCTGCTACTGCTATTCCTTTGTCTTTTCCATTATTCCTTCCTTTCTCGACATTAATAGAGTTGTTAGGCCCTTGATTACCGTTCTCATCCTTACCTTTTGGGTTTTTATTTTTTCCATTGTTAGCACGATTGTATCGGTACGGTTTTTTCGGGGCTAGCATCCATGTGCCATATCGTTCCACAATCTCCGGCCTGATTTGGATCGATTGATCTTTTTCCTTATTTGGTTGTCCTCCTCCGTCTCCCTGAGCTCCGCCTGTCTCCGTCGCCGTGTCTGCTTCCTCCGATGGTTTCTGGGGACAGTTTTCTGCTGCATGACCATAAACACCACAGTGGAAGCAGATTTGGTACATTCCCTCGTATTCTATATGTCGGACTTTTAGCTTAGCTGTGAATTTTGAGAGAAGTGGTTTCGTCAGGTCGACTTCAGCACACATCCTTGCGAATCGTCCCTTTGATCCTATGCTCGTTGTCTCATCAATGTATTTCGGTTCTCCTATCTTCTTCCCTAGTTTCATAAGATAAGGATAATCATAATACTCCATTGGGAGGTCGGGGAACCGGACCCAAACCAAGACTCGCTCAGTTTTATCCGACTTGGGATCAAAGTTTGGCCTCCAATCCTGGACAATAAGGTAGTGATCCATTATTGACCAAGGCCCTCCATATTTCGCAAACTCATAGTCGTCGACAGACCGAAACCGAACCACATGATAAACATCATCCAGTGCCATTACATCCATCCTCCGCCTATTGAGAGCTCGATCCCGTCCATGTCTACCCTCTCCTCCTCTGGCGTTGTCACCACCTCACTCATTTTCGGTTTTTTGGTGCTACGTTCCAGGAGGTCCTGGACCTCCGCTGATCGAGTTGCCGTCGTTACCACTTTGCCTTGGGTTTCCGGCGAGTACGTTCTCGAGAGCATTTTACATGTACTACTTCAGCTTTTTTATTTGTCTTCATTAATTACAAATGAGACCGCTGTCCAAATTATCATTGGACCGTTGGAATATTCTCTTTTAACTTCTTTGATTTGATACCCATAGTTGTTATTCCGTTTCCTTCTCTTTAGGATTTAATTACGATTTCAAAATGTAACAACTACTCGTATTTTTTTTTTATGTGATAGAACTTAAAATTTTTTCATAAAAAATAAAAACGATGTCATCAAATCACAATATAACTTTCAGTTTATAGGACTTTGTGAGGGTTGAATGATGAATTCGGCTAGGGAGTTTTGTGTACATGATGGGTATTGCAAATGATTTTCAATGCTGAACTATGGGCCATATATCATGATATTAAATTTTATTGGGAAAGGGAATAAAGGATAATTTTGGTGGAGAGCAATTTTCATGCGGCCATCTAGAGAATAAAAGTACTTTTGAGACTAGTATAGTAATTTTGTTAAAGCTATTTGAGATTTTATTAATCAAGATTGGATTGGGAAAATGACCAATCGTTATACCGTTCATCATGGTGCACATAGCAATGTGCGTCTCGCGCCTCCCAAAACGGTGTCGTTTTGTTAAGTTGTGTGGGGAATTGACGCTGATGGGGTGTGAACCCCGTGGGCTCGGGGTCTAAGAAGAAAATAGATAAAGCCCAGACAAAGAAGAGAAGCCTAAGAAGAAAATGGAGCAAGCACAAAAGAGATACGAGCCAAAACGAGGAATCGGCTCGACCCGAAAGTCGGCACGGGTAGTAGGTCGGCCTAAACTAGCTGTTAACCCATTTACTACCCTATTATTAACCAACTTATTACCCATTAAACCTCATATTATAACCTCTCAACCCATTATTCCCCATTACTACCAATTCATTGCCTATTCAAATTACCTCATCCTAACCCCCAACTTAATATTCATAACCAACCCATTAATAGCATATTTAATACCCATTATTTTCCTAATGGTTAGTCGCCCAAACGGCTACTTCTTATTGCTATAAAAGACAAAGAGAACACAAGGAGAAAGGGGGCGACCATTCGTACATACTACAAGGACTCTTCCACCCACAATGCACAAGGAAGACTCTATCTCTCCTACACACTAGAATACCTCCTACTATTCTTTCATCCCCAAGAAGACTTCATCACTCTCCCAAAGAGGATGCACTCTTCCACAACCACTCTCCACTCATCCTTCATCACTCTCCCAAAGAGGATGCACGCTTCCACAACCACTCTCCACTCATCTAAGCAAGAAGACCACATGAAGAAGACTCTATATGGGAAGACTCCACCACTCTTCCACGCATCAAGAAGCATACTCCATCTCAATGTATAAAGTATAGCTCTCTCCCTACACAATATTTCCATATTACATATACAAAATAGCCATACAACATGTACAAAGACACCTACAAAATACATAGTGGAGTTAGGCTTGGCACTGCCCAAAAAGGCCCGTGGTTTTCCCTTCGCTTTCCACGTACAAAAAGCATTGAGTTATGTTTGTTCTACTTATTTTTATATAAGCCGCATGTGAAAGGTGTATCCACCGACCAAGGTTGTGTTGGACCTCCCTAGGCCCAAAAACCAACAGACGCGAGAGAGTGTATGTGTATTATCTTATAAAATTCTGTACATTCCGTTATAAAATTATGTACATTCTGTTCTAACGTTCTGTACATTCTGTTATACAATTCTGTACATTCGAAAATGAATTTTTTTTAAAAAAAAGTTAAGAGTTTATGTGTATTACGTTAAGAGTTTATGTGTATTATGTATTATTATATTAGATTATGTGTATTATCCTTTCAAACAAGATTATGTGTATTCTGTTATAAAATTATGTACATTCTGTTATACAATTCTGTACATTCTATTATATAATTCTGTACATTCGAAACATGGGAATTTTTTTTTAAAGAGTTAAGAGTTTATGTGTAGTATGTTAAGAGTTTATGTGTATTATGTATTATGTTAGATTATCAGATTATGTGTATTATGTTATAAAATTCTGTACATTCTACTATACAATTCTTAATGTTCGAAACATGAGATTTTTTTTTTTTAAGAAGTTAACAGCAGACACGCGAAAATGTACAAAACGACGTGGTTTTGGGCTAGGGCGCACGATATAATTTGCTGAAAATGACACTTTTTTTTACCTTGAGTTATATATTTATAGCACATTTGTTTTTTTTCTGAGTTATTCATGTATCCACACTTGCCCCCTAATTTATGTTAAAAGTGGCGATTTTTTCCCCCTTTTTATGTTAGATGGACATTTTACCCTTAAAATAAGTATTTCATTTATTTTTCTTCTCCAATAAATTATTGCTTATATGTATGGATGATCACGGTTCGATTCAAACTTAACCGTACACTGTAGCAACCAAATCGAAACAGTAAGGACAGTTATGGTTATGATTCAGAACCGGAAAAAAATAAAATCAAATAAAATAATTGTTAAATTTAGACTATTTTAAAAATAAGAAATAGAATTTTTAAAAATAAATAAATAAATTTTGAACTGGCGGTTCAAACCGAAACTGGAACCTTCTTAAAAGGTTCAAGTTACGATTTATCATTTCCCAGAACTGTGAACCGGAACCAAACCACAATCATATCTACTTATGTGAAATTAGAATAAATGTCAAAATGATCAAACACTATTGGTAAATGATAAATCGGTTCTGTTTGGTTCCAGTTTCGATTTTGAACCGCCGATTCAAAATTTATTTGTTTATTTATTTATTTTTGTAAATTCTATTTTTTTTAAATATTCTAAATTCAATAATTATTTTATTTTATTTTATTTCGGTTCTATATCGTTACTAAATTCGTCCCTATTATTTCGGTTCGATTGTTATAGTGTCCGGTTAAGTTCGAATCGAATCATACTCATCCATACATATAAGCAACAATTTGTTCTTCCAAAAGGCTGAACCCCAACCCTAAGGGCCCCCCACACCCCGGCCCGACAGAGCATTTGTTGGAGAAAAAAAATGAAATACTTATTTTTAAGGGTAAAAATATCCATTTAACAATAAAGGGAGAAAAACAATCACTTTTAACATAACTGAGGGGCAAATATGGATCACAGCTCATATATGATAGACCTGCATACTATGGGCTTGTTTGGTTATCAGCGGTTAGCGGTAACGTGTTATGTTAGCGGTTATCAGATAGCGGATTGTATTAGCGGGTTTGACCAGCAGATTGTATTAGCGGTTTATAAAAAAGTGCTTGGTAAAATTAGCTGTTTAGATTAACGGTTAACATGTAAAATGATCATAAGGGTATACATTATAATTTATAATCTATATATATATAAAAGTAAAATCCTCCTAGTCAAGTTTTCCCCCCAAAACTTAGGGACATTTATGTAATTTATGTAATCTAATCTATATATATATAAAAGTAAAATCCTCCTAGTCAAGTTTTCCCCCCAAAACTTAGGGACATTTATGTAATTTATGTAATCTAATAATAATAATAATAATAATAATAATAATCTATAATAATAATATTATTATTACCTTTTTGTATACCCAGTTTATTATCAAATATATTAGGAATAATTATATTAGTAATATATTATTAATTAAATAATTAGGGAAAACCGTAAGAACAATAATCTATAATAATAATATTATTATTACCTTTTTTTTTATACCCAGTTTTATTATCAAATATATTAGGAATAATTATATTAGTAATATATTATTAATTAAATAATTAGGGAAAACCGTAAGAACAATGCTGTAATAATATATTAGGAATGTAGTTATACAATATGTAGTAATTAAGGTGATTATTGTTAATTAAGCTAATTAGTGTGTAGTATTTTATTTATATATAAAAGCTATACTCACCCAGAATGTATATGTATATATATGGAATGCCGTGTAGTAGTGGGTAGAAAGTAAATAATTTGAAGCTTTTACCTTTCTTAATATCTCTTACCATATTATAATTTCAATACTAAGCTCTTTTGATCTCATCTATTGTGTATAAATACACCTTATATGACCATAGACAACTCATCAATTTCACAATCCCAACTAAGGTTAATTATTTCATTGACTTTTTGCTAATTATCCTGTGATCTTCCACAGTTGAGGTTGATACGTGATTTGCACGGGTGAAGTTTTCATTATCTTAGTTTCTTCTTTTCTTTCTTTCTTATTGGGTTTTGTTTTGTTTTGTTTTTTGTTTTCTATTTTTTGTTTTTTGTTTTTTTTTTTTGTTTTTTGTATTTTTTGCTTTTTAAACAGGAAAAGTGGTTCGTAAGAAAAAATGTTGATATATTCTCTTTTTTTTTTTTCGTTTAATTTTGTAGAGAAGATACAGATCTATAAAGATTGATCGAGAAGCAATAGAGTTCCTTGCTCATCAAGTGGATAAAGTGGAGAGGGACGGATTTTGTGCATATGTAAACAGATGCAAAGGGAAGCATGATAAGAATACACTAAAAATGAAAATAATATTCAAAGCATTTTTTTAGTTGTCAATTTGTCAAAGCGTTGGGCTTTCTTTTGATTCAATCTCTTCGTCTTTAAAGTGTGCATTTTCTGTAATAAAAGAGTAATTTGTCTCTCCCTTCAAGATGTTTTGGCATTTTCGGCAGAATCAACACTGCGGAAGTAATCTTGACTTTGTCAGTGCGGAAGTTGTTTTTTTTTTTTTTTTTCCTGCAAATTTGAAGTTGGCATTGCTTTGGATTAAATTAGTAGTTATTTTTATGGCGGTGGTGGAAGAAGATTCAGTGATAGATGACTGCAGCAATTCATG